GTAGATATTTTTTCAACAAGGACATGAATAAAATGAATGTTTACATACAGTGTGTCACGGAAAAAGTGTAAGAATCTTCATCAACTTTTTAGTTTGCTTTTTAAATGTGCGTAGTTTGGAAGTTCCCTTGTTAGACTGTTTCTGTACCGCGTATAATCCATTTCCTTTCATTCATTTTTCATTTTCGACTTCAGTCGCGCGTCTTATTGTTAAGTAAACATCTAAAACCGTCCATTTCCCGTCTATATCGTCTTTCTACATGGTCCCGCACTTTTCGACGCTCTGCCAACTGCCGTAAAAATGTACCGGTGTTTAAATTTACGACCTCTCAGAAGCCGCAAGTGGGTCTCTCTCGTGGCTAATAGGGCGGTTCAAGAGGTGCGAACGGCGGCAGGGCACATATTTGCCAAGGGCGGCTGTCCCTTATATCACCTTCGCTGGTCGCCCCTAAGGAATTTATTGGGGCAATTAAAGCCGCTCTTGTCGCTACAAATATATATCGGCGGTTTTTTGTCGGTTGCGCCCCGTTGGCCATGGGCGGAGGCGAGGGCGGATAAGTGCGAAATATTTAAGGGGGTGGTTGCCGAAGTTATTTTGGGAAAAAATTCATATAAACGTAGGTCGAAATATGCTTCGTTTTCGAGATATAGTTCGAGTGTTTAAATTTAAATTTTTTATTTATTGACTCGAAATTTGGCGGTTGTATTTTATTTAGAAATACTGACAGCAACCAACAAGATAATGTATCAGTAGAAATTAAAAATACGCAACGTGCGATAAAATATGTTTATTTTTTGCTCTAAACCGGTGTATCCTACGAAAAAAATTGAAGAGACCAATTTCATTCAGAATTGATTTCAAAAAAAAATTACCAAAACGGGAAAAGTCGGTGGCGTACCATTTGTTTTATTAAAAAATGTTGTGTCATCCTCGCACGAACGCCACTGGTGCAAGTAGAAATATTCGGATCACGCCAAAAAATGCACATTTATCCTTCCAATGCGTTTTTCAAATTTCAAGTCAATGTCTTTAAAACTGAAATAATTAATAAAAATAAATAAAAAAATTAAAATTTAAACACTTTGTATCTCGGAAACGAAGCATATTTCGACCTACTTTTATATGGACTTTTTTCACAAAATAACTTAAGCAAACACCCCCTAAAATATTACGCACTTATTTACAAATACCCTGTATGAGAACACCCTACATTTCATTGCTTTTAAAGACAAAAACTTATCTCTTTTAATCAAAATTATTTGGAGGTACTATTTTATGTTTTGCTAGACTGATGACCAGGTTTTTGTGGTCCAATACATTATTTTTATAAAAAAAAAAATATGAACTTTTCATTAGAAATACGTTTTAAATACAATAAAAAAAGTTAAATTGTTACGCCAACGATTTTACTTAACTTTTAATAGTAACATTGTACTTCATATAGTATTTCTAAAAAAANGTTCCCTTCCAAACCATAAAATTTTATCGCTTTATGCGGTTGTTCTTTTTTATTGTTTACAGTTTTGAAACACACATAAAAATAAACAAAATGTCACCTATTTCAATAATTCCCTTACGAATATGATTCTCGAAGGAACACTTTTATTGATATTACAATTTTGAGAAACGATGGACATATTTACCTACAGGCAACTCGAAAATTGCAACGTACCCAGGAAAACCCAATATCCAATAATAATTGTAATAAGAAATAGTTTGCCATTAAAGAATTTTCACATTTTTACACTATTTTTATATAAAAACTGCGAACATAGCAAGTCAGTTTAGTTAATACAACTGCTATAGTTTATATTAGATTTTAACCGTTATAAAACTTATTAATTTCGGGCACGCCTCTGGTGTCAGCCCTACGCATAACTTCAACCATCCCTGCGAACATTTGTATTACGATGTCTGTATCAACAAGTAGCCAATTTTATTCCCGGTACTAATCAATTTATTAAGCAATATCTACGGTAAACTGAAACCCTTGTATTGGATTTTCATTAGGGTTGATTACAGGCAACGTGGGCGGTAATTTTCTCGAGTTCCGCTCGACTCGGGTTTAAAATGAAGCCGTTCAATGTTTCTAACACAACTACAAGACAACTACATTGTGCCATATTGTCTAATATATCAGTTATAGCCGCTTACAATGACGTGTGTTTATTTATCGGTGGATTTTAAATTATAACAACTTTGTAAATTGAGTTTCTTACTGAGAGACACCTCGTTTAATACGATTTTAATACTGAGATTTGAAAACACCAGAGATTGACTCTACACAACAATTTAGAAAAGTTTTTATATACTACGTATTTTTCTTGTAGGTCACTATAGCTACAGAGTTAGGAAAAGTTGTAACCAGAATGCAACTGGAGAGATCAGAAGTAGCTTTCTACGTATACACCAATGGAGATCATTATTTAAGGTACATCGAATGTTTTCTCAGTGTAGAAGTTTAATAAATGTATAATTTGATACGTCCTATATTTTCACGTTCATAATATTATGTTGATAACAACATAGAAATATTTGGGGTTTTACAACTGTTGATGATTCTTAATTTGTTCATTTTTTTTATTTTTCAACCCCTAAATAAGGGTGATTTTCATGTGTGTGATGCTCATTTTCATTTTTCATTATGAGTTTTTGGATATTTTTAGGGTTTTTCCTGTCGCCTCTGTCAAAGACTCTAAAATAGGCGGATTTTGCGCTCACTCTTTATTTTTTCATTCCTTTATTGCAACAATATGGTTGTTTATTTAAAAAAAAATTTGGACAGGATATAGTTAATACAATACGCAACATTGCCTTACTGTTAAAAATGTCACCGCCGTTCTTGGTACTGAAAACTCTAAATATTTAGAATTATTCAATTTTCGTGGCTGAAAACATACATAAGTATTGAATTTTCCAAACCAAGAGTGTTGTTCTAACCAAATTTGGACAGGACATAGCTAATACAATGCGAAACATCGCCTTGCTGTTGAAAATGTTGCCACAGCCGTTCTTGGTGGTGAAAATTCGAAATATTTGGAATTAAAGGTTATAACAAGCGTTCAAATAAAAACGTGGTCAAGTTGGTTCTGAAAATTTGGACATAGGGCGTAGCGTATAGCAAATGAACTTAAACGTCATCTGTCAAAGCGCTATATCGCCGCTNAAATATTTGGGGTTTTAGAAATGTTGAAGATTCTTAATTTGTTCACTTTTTTGTCTTTTCAACCCCTAAATAAGGGTGATTTTCGAAAATTTTCGAAAAACTGAAAGTGATGCTCATTTTCATTTTTCATTACGAGTTTTTGGATATTTTTAGGGTTTTTTCTGTCGCCTCTGTCAAAGACTCTAAAATAGGCGGATTTTGGGGTCACTCTTTATTTTTTCATTCCTTATTGCAACAACATGGTTGTTTATTTAAAAAATCTAAACCAAATTTGGACAGGATATAGTTAATACAATACACAACATTGCCTTATTGTTAAAAATGTAACCGCCGTTCTTGGTACTGAAAACTCTAAATATTTAGAATTATTCAATTTTCGTGGCTGAAAACATACATAGGTATTGAATTTTCCAAACCAAGAGAGTTGCTCTAGCCAAATTTGGACAGGACATAGCTAATACAATGCGAAACATCGCCTTGTTGTTGAAAATGTTGTCACAGCCGTTCTTGGTGGTGAAAATTCGAAATATTTGGAATTAAAGGTTATATTTAAATTGTCTCAGATATTTGCGGTTTTCTTACATTCTCAAGAATATTACGTTAAAAATATCCTTGATAAGCAAATATTAGTATTATTATTCAGTATTCTACAAGCATTAAGTATTTGCTAGACAAGAAAAATGCAAAATAATTATTGTAATGAAAATATTCTGAATTTATTTTATATCCATGGGACATTCGTCATGAATCAGAATTATTAAGAGCATTTCTATGATTTCTATTAGTAGGAAATTGCAAAAAATTATTGATTTATAGAAGAAGATTAAAAAGTATATATACCTAATTTAAACAAGTATATTTTCTGTAAAGTAACGACTGTTATAGATAGCTGCCTGCGTACGAGAGAAAAATATGTAGATGTAATAAAAATGTTGAATATTAGTATTTTTCAATTTAGTTCCCTTCCAAACCATAAAATTTTATCGCTTTATGCGGTTGTTCTTTTTTATTGTTTACAGTTTTGAAACACACATAAAAATAAACAAAATGCGCTTGTCACCTATTTCAATAATTCCCTTACGATTATGATTCTCGAAGGAACACTTTTATTGATATTACAATTTTGAGAAACGATGGACATATTTACCTACAGGCAACTCGAAAATTGCAACGTACCCAGGAAAACCCAATATCCAATAATAATTGTAATAAGAAATAGTTTGCCATTAAAGAATTTTCACATTTTTACACTATTTTTATATAAAAACTGCGAACATAGCAAGTCAGTTTAGTTAATACAACTGCTATAGTTTATATTAGATTTTAACCGTTATAAAACTTATTAATTTCGGGCACGCCTCTGGTGTCAGCCCTACGCATAACTTCAACCATCCCTGCGAACATTTGTATTACGATGTCTGTATCAACAAGTAGCCAATTTTATTCCCGGTACTAATCAATTTATTAAGCAATATCTACGGTAAACTGAAACCCTTGTATTGGATTTTCATTAGGGTTGATTACAGGCAACGTGGGCGGTAATTTTCTCGAGTTCCGCTCGACTCGGGTTTAAAATGAAGCCGTTCAATGTTTCTAACACAACTACAAGACAACTACATTGTGCCATATTGTCTAATATATCAGTTATAGCCGCTTACAATGACGTGTGTTTATTTATCGGTGGATTTTAAATTATAACAACTTTGTAAATTGAGTTTCTTACTGAGAGACACCTCGTTTAATACGATTTTAATACTGAGATTTGAAAACACAAGAGATTGACTCTACACAACAATTTAGAAAAGTTTTTATATACTACGTATTTTTCTTGTAGGTCACTATAGCTACAGAGTTAGGAAAAGTTGTAACCAGGATGCAACTGGAGAGATCAGAAGTAGCTTTCTACGTATACACCAATGGAGATCATTATTTAAGGTACATCGAATGTTTTCTCAGTGTAGAAGTTTAATGAATGTATAATTTGATATGTCCTACTGTTCCTATTTTTTTTTTTTTAATTGTAAACATTACAATCATTGCAAAAATTACTTTATTTTAATTTTCAGAACAGACCTAGACAAACGTTTCGAACTGACAAACGAGGCGCTAAAGAACATGAGCAGTTGGCCCTCTGTCATCATACAATTCGAAGGACAAAAAAAATTGTACCTCAACAAGAGCACCTTCCAACATGACCTGACAAAATTCAGGTAAATACACTAATATACAGGGTGGTCCGTTTTTCATGGCTCACCATTGGCATCTTGGAAACCGTAATATATACAGAGTGGCCAAATTATAAAAAAGTTGCGCCTTCCCAGGATCATGTAGTAGAATAAACCAAACCGATCAAAGATATCTGCTGATGTCACTGTCAAAATCCAATATAGCACCCATAAGAATAAAAAACAATTGAATGTTGCCTAACTGAAATTAGTGGCCGTAGAAATTTTTTTTCGACGAAAATGGTTTGCTCGTATCTTCTCATCCGCAAGTACCAAATTTCAGCTCTTTCTGTTGTGAAATAAGGACGCTAGGTGGCATTTTCTAAAATCGCTATTTTCAGGTTTTTCACAATATTTCAGGAACGGCAGCAGATATCTTTGATCTGTTTGGTTTATTTTAATGACTCTGAAGAGGCAGAACTTTTTTCTAATTTGAACCACCGTGTATATCTTATGGTTTCCCAGAAGCCAATGCAATGGTCAGCCATGAAAAACGGACCACATATTGTTAACAGGCACAGGCACTGATATTTTTTTATTATTAATAGAGAAACGTTAATAAAATCAGAAGAAAGTTCCATAACCGACGTCTTAACGTGGTACACGTCTGTTAACGCCGCCATGTTGGAACACCTGACCAATCAAATCAAAGAAACTGATAACAGTGGAGTGTGGAGGTATGTCATGGTTATCTGATCATAAAACAAAAAAAAGTAAGACAAAACACTGATCAACATTACAACGTCGTAAAAGATTAGCATAGGGGGCCCAAACTAGAACCTTGTGGCATACAATTGCAGTGTAGTTTAAGTTTTTACTAAATCTATTTCCAGGTATCTCTTGGCTTTCAAAAACCTGCTAAAGAGCATTGAGAGTACAGGGATAGCAAGCGTGTATGGAGTTAATTATTTTGGGAAGGGGTACTTGAAGCAGTCGAACTACATCGGATACATAACTCACGACGCCATAGCGAAGGATCTGTTGAACACCTCGCTGAATTACGTGCCACAGATGAAGAAGGAGTACAGGGCTTTGGCACATAACATGCCAAACTATGGAAATATCAAACGCAAGTAAGTCGGTGATGTGGTTCTAGGAAACTGTCATCATTTCAAATGCTGTTTTCATTATTAATAAACCAAAATAAATTGGGTTTAAATCTGTTGTAGGAACGACATAATACTGCGGAACATCACAAGGAAGCCGAATTACCAAGAAGCTTTGGAATACTTTGATTCGATGGCAACTTATACAGACGAACTCAGAAAAATCCAAAGAACATTGAGAGTTATAATCAAGTATGGGGAATTGATGAACAGACAGTATAATGCATTAAAAATTAGAACACCACACATTTTTTTTGCGGCACTCAACCAACCAGCAGTGTCAATAATTGAACTATTTTAATTCTCAGGCATTTCCAAAGCCTCCTAGATTAAAAAATATATATGAATTTAAAACTGTAAGCCTGTTTTAAATTGATAAAATTTGGTGTTTCAAACTCATTTTTGTAACTGAAGCTTTTTTAACAGGAATTATGTCAACGACAATCTTCATGACGCGGCTAACAGGGAAGCTGTGGGAATAGCGACCCTAGTACTGGTACTGGCAGTGTCTCCAGTCATCATTTGGTTAGTTAGGAACGCCGTTGCCACGATACAGGTCGGATAGAATTCAATACAACATTCGAAAAATACAGATTTTTATATTACCTATACCCTTTCTAGTTATACGCAGCCAACTTGGCGAAGAAAGCCAAAGAACTGAAGAGGGAGAAGAAGAAGAGCGACCTGCTTCTCTTTCAAATGTTGCCCCCTAGCGTCGCTGTACAACTCAAGCAGACCAGACAGGTAAGGTTATATTAAATTTCTCTTAGAGACTATTTTTTTTTCAACATATTTTCTTTCCATCATTTAGGTACCTGCCGAATACTACGCATCAGTCACAGTTTATTTTAGCGACATTGTAGGTTTTACCGAAATAGCCGCCGTTAGCACGCCATTGGAGGTAAGTTGAAGCTGTGTCAAAGAATTGGTTTTAATATTTCTTTTACTATTAAAAAGATAATGTATTTCTACTGTAGGAATGAGAAACTGTAAATGCACATATATCCAATAATATGCACTATATCTCCAATGCCAAAACAGTGGACAGTAAAGGCATAAACAAATCAAACAACAATTATTCTTCTAGTCTCTATATTATTTTTATAAAGTCTTTATAGATCAGAAATTCGTCGGTTGTCTCTTCTGCCATTCATCTGAATATAATTAAGAATGTAATCAATAATTTTTCAAAATTTTTAACTTAAGCATACTTTCAGTGTAACTACCAGACATAAAACTTTAACTATAAACGGAAATACAGCGCAACAGAAAAAAGGGGTAAGAAATCGAGTATGACTAGCTGATTGGTTGAATTAAATGTAGCGTGCTACAGTCGAAGTTCTGTGAACGAAGCATAAGCCCGCACTAGCTCTATCTCTCTCGCATACGTCTGTGCGATTGCCGTTTATATAGGCAGAATGTCAGTTGGGAGAATCCAGTTTATAAGGTCTATGGGATAATTTCAACTTGTACATTGCACTGCACAGCCCTTTGTCCAGGCATGTTTCGACGTGTTTTGACGACCGAACTGATCAGAGAGTCATTTGATATTATAAATCGAATAGCGCTAACCACAATCATTGTTATTGTTTACTAATAAATTTACTATTTCAGTTTTGATCTATACATATTTTTAGGTTCCCTGTGTTCCATCATAGGATTCATAAGAGTTGTTCTTGTTTTTTTTTTATATTAGGTTATTTTAGTACTATTTAGCTTACAAATTTTTTATTCTGGGTACACAATTTGTAAAGTCAACAATAATTAAAATTTTTGATTAAATTCTTTTTTTATTTCTCTTTTTTACGATAATTTATTTATTATTGGGGTAATTTTACTCTAATTTTAGAAAAGTAGGTTTTTTGTGTTATAAACAAGATTATCTGCTTGTTTTTTGCGATAAATATATATAGGGCGTTCTGAGCACCCTTGCCACTACATTGTTTCCTTCACATTTCTTCTTAGGATTGATATTTTTGGAAAATTATTAGTTGTTTTAAAACAGCATACGATTTGCTTTAAAAAAAGGTATACTGGTTGCATGTCGCTAAAATGCACCGTTTTAGAGACAATAACGTTTAAAATAGCTACATAATAAGAATGAAAATAATACGTAGATTACAATAAATTATTAATTCAAAAGGTTAATGTTCTTATAACAATTGAAAACGTAAACATGACACTAAACATAGAAAAATATGACAACATGAAAGATCCTACAACATTTAAAAACAACAAAATAAAAAATAACCATTTAGACCTAAATGTAATAGCAAAAACAACTTTTCTTTTAAATTTGATTTTCCAAAAGACCGCCATTCGCTTCAATGAATTATTGACATCTCTTTAAGAAATTTCTTCTAACTGTTAAGAATGTCGGAAGAATATGCCTAATATAATTTGTTGCTGCCACAATTTGTTTCTGGTATTAATACCTAGTAGGGCTAGAATAAAAAAAAAATTCTCGACTTCTGTTGGTCGTAGGACAAAATTTTTTTTAAGATTCGTGAAAAAATGTCTGCTTTCAAATGACAATAATGCCATTCCCATTAAATTTCAACTATTAGAAAAAGATCTATATTTTTCGACCCGAAAAAAGAAGTAGATTTTTCGTATATTTCCAATTATTTTGCAAAAGCTATAAAATATTCTGCAATTTTACAAAAATGCAATTATTCTACTTGCCAAAAAAGTCTTTTTTCGTTTTAAAGATACCTATAGAATTTTAAAAAAATACGATTAGCCGTTTTCTTGCAATAACTAATATTAACCCAAGCAAATAAAATTTTTACTCGAAAAAATTCCTATCCGCGAAATTATTGTAAAATTGTCTAAAGGAACATAATACAAGACATCTCTCATCTCGTGAGTCAAAAAACTTTATTAGCTAACTTTTCTATTTAAACAAATGAGGAAAGCAGTTTTTTTCACTTCGCAGGGAAAACCATCAATTTTAGCGAAAAATGACTCTTAGACAGCTTGTAGGAAATAAAATTATCTACAAACTGAGACTTGTTAAATTAAAATCGGTTAATAAACAAAAAAGTTGTGCAGTAACAAACCGTGCGTTTTTCGCTTATAAACAATTTGATTAAAATTGTTGCTATTTATGCTACCTCATCGAAAATATATTCAATAGCTGGCAAAAATATACAAATTTAAAAAAAAGCACCCTCTACGACCAACAGGAGCCAAGATAAGAATTTTTTTTTTAAATAATCGTAGCGCAATTGTTTATAAACATTGACTTGAATTTTTCGCAAAATAAAGTTTATTGAAAAGAGAAGGCTTGGTAAGTAAAATGTCCGGCGTGGTGGTGGGGGAAGCTCGTCCAAGCGAGCAGCGCGCGCGAGAAAAGTGAAATCCAAAGTTCAAATTGATGCGCGCTGTAAAATTTTGCAATATCTCGGCTTCTATTCATCGTAGAAACTTATTTTTTTTAAAACTGGGTAGCTCGACGAAAAAATAACAATGAGTATATCTGATGGTTTTCCCTGCAAAGTGAAGAAACTGTTTTCCTCACTTATTTGTGTAAATAGAAAAGTTAGCTATTAAAATTTTTTGATTCGCGAGATGAGAGATGTCTTATATTATGTTCCTTTAGACAATTTTACAATAATCTCGCGGATAGGAATTTTTTCTAGTAAAAATTTTATTTGCCTGGTGTAATTCTGAAAGTTTCGTAAATAAGTCTTTTTTCGTTTTAAAGAAGTTTAAAAAAATATTATTTTTAGCCGTTCTTTTGCAATAACTAATATAGTTGTTTATCAATTGACATCTTACTGGGCTCAAAATTTTTGATATAAAAAGTTCTACAAATTCTAAAATGTTTAGTTTTTTAAATAAAGAAACTGTTTTTTGCGAACTTAGGACACCATTTTGAAAATGAAGCCCTAACATTCAGCTGGGATAAAGTTTAATGCTTACTGAACAAAATTTTGGCAAAAAAAAACGTATTTTCGACAATTTGACTGGCCTACTATCACAATGACTGACAGTAATATTTGTAGGTTGTTACTTTTCTTAACAAAATCTACAAGCAGTTCGACGCAAGGATAGAATGCTACGACGTCTACAAGGTGGAAACGATAGGGGACTCGTACATGGTGGCCTCTGGACTTCCGGTGAAAAATGGTTATCTATTTCCACCTACCACCGATTAAGCACTAACTTCAACAAATTAATTTTCTAGGAAACAAACACGTGACCGAGATTGCTAGCATGGCCCTAGACCTTCTGGCCGGTTCGAAACAGTTCAAAATCCCCCACAGGAAGTCGGAACGCCTCCAGATCCGATCTGGGGCCCACACGGGCCCGGTGGTTGCTGGTATAGTGGGTTCCAAGATGCCCAGGTACTGCTTGTTTGGGGACACCGTGAATACGGCGTCTCGAATGGAGTCTACAGGGGAAGGTAATGTCGAATTGCGAAGTAGAATCACAGCATATGTAAATCGGCAGTTTAAAATAGATAAAAATCGTAGTAAACGTTTCCCTTGGGGTCAGCGGGAAGGGGTAGATTTCATTTTTTTTCAGATGGTAAAATCTAGTGGATTTAAGTCGGGCGAGCAAGCTGGCCAATGAAGAGGTGCATCTGTATATCTGACAAGTACCTATTGCAGGTATCAGCAACATATTTTTTTATGTTTTTGACATCTTTTTAAGAAATTTCTTCTAACTGTTAAGAATATCGGAAGAATATGCCTAATTTGTTGCTGCCATTATTCTTTGCCACAATGCTTTTCTGATAACAGTAGGGCCAGAATAAAAAAAAATTTTGAAAAAATGTCAACTTTCAAATGGCAATAATGCCAATTTAGAAAATCGTAAAATCTTTATTTATTGTGCGATTTTAACCGAATAAGATGTAGAGCTTGATGAAGTTTGCTTTGTGAAGGAAAATGAGCTGATCCCACAAAATCCAAGGCGTGCTACGTCCGTTTTTAAGAGTAAAATTCTAATATTTCATATTAGGAACTTTTTGAGAAAAAATATATTTACGCCATTGGATTCAGGACCCTCCAAAATGGGCTGCTGTGGTGAAAGAATGGTTACACGAACATTTTGAGAATTGTTAGATAGGCAAAATAATCCTTTAATTGAGTGGCCGCCGATATCTCCGGACTTGAGACTATTAGATTTTTTTGGGGATTTATTAAAACAATAAAGTTTATAAATCAAGGCCACAAAGTGTACATGAACTACATGCTAGGATAATACAAGCCTGTGCAGACATTACCCCAAACCAAATACAAAAAATAATTACGAACGTAGGTACGTAAAAGAATTGAAAAGTGCATAGAAGTAAATGGTGGATCGATAGAAGAATATAATTATCTATATTATATTATTAATAGTTAATTATTGTGGATCGATAGAAGAATATAATTATCTATATTATATTATTAATAGTTAATTATTATAATACCACAATACTAGAGTTTAATTAATTTCATTTATTTGTTTTTGTTATGCTTCATGGACAACTTGATACGACAATAAATTAATGAAACAAAAGTACTTGTAAATTTTTGATTTGGCTATAAAATCGTTATTATTTAAAAATTTTTGATAAAATTTGGTATTGGCCCATTTTGGGGGGTCGTGAATCCAGTGGTGTAAATATATTTTTTCTCAAAAAATCCCTAATATGAAATATTAGAATTTTACTCCTAAAATCGGCCTTGGATTTTGTGAGATCACGCTCATTTTCTCTACACACTGAAAACTATATGCAGTCTACTAAGCGCGCTTATAACGATTACCGCTCATCTGAATTTGCTGGTTTTCATATGCTGTGGTAAAATTATTCGAAAACAATAATTTCTCGTTTTTAGCGTCTAAAATTCACATAAGCTTAGACATGAAGAACGCTTTAGACGCCATTGGAGGATATAGAATGGAGCACAGAGGGCTGGTTGAAGTTAAGGTACAATTACTAACTCACCATAATAAAACGTGACACCATAAGTTTAACCAGTTTTTTCTCAATTATCTAATACATACAGGATGTTACGTCTATACTTAAAAAAAATTGGATATTATTTTCTTTTGAAAGAATACTGGGGGTTTTACTCTTTAAGCTTATAAAGATGCAGTGTGTTAATTTCAATACTTGTCTAAGACAAATAAAAAAATATTACATTTAGCAAATCTACCATGATTTGCTAACAATTGAGTATCGATTATTTAACAATTTTAGTCTCACATTTTTAAAAACCTCGTTATTCTAAGTCAGTTAAGGTTACACATAGTCCAAGCATTGTATAGAAATGTTTGCAGAAATTATTACTTGGAAAAAAATATCGTATAGGAAATTAAATTTAAGTCGAGTTTATTTTTCTTTAAACTCGAGTCAAAGTATCGCGCATCGCTGTAAAATGTTATTTGCGTCCTCTAGTTTATTTTTTAATTAAAAAAAATATCTCGACACCAGAAGATCGTAGAAAAACTTTTTTTTAAATTCGTGAAAAAATATCAGAAAGTCATTTTTCTACAAAACTGTTAAAAGTGGGCTTTTTAATTGTCTGTGAAAAAGCCCACTTTTAACAGTTTTGTAGAAAAAATAGTGTATGTTATACGTGTTAAAAGTGATTTTATTTTGTTCGTGAAGTTAAAAAACTCGCTACGCTCGTTATTTAATCATCTTCACTCACAAAATAAAATCTTACTTTTAATCATAAATAGCTATTAATAACAATTGAAATAATTATTTGAAAAAAAAAACGTGCCTAAAAAAGGAACAACTTTTTCAGTCATTTTTTATTCTCAAAATTAATATTATCGTAAAAATTATTTAATAGCATGGTAACACAACTCTTTACGAAGAAAATAAACCGAAAATCGTTACTGTGGGGCCATCCGCTGAGAAGATCTAGACAATTTTCCACGTCTTTTTTTTCAAAAAAAATTAGTATTTTTAAATTTGTCAAAAAAGTACTTTTTTGCCTTGCTGCACCCTATACTTACAGTAAATAGCAAGCATGGAAAACCCGATTTTTAACGACTTTTTTTATATATACATATCTCGAAAAATAATAAAGCAATCGATAGGTACATATAAAAAATCAGTCGATAGATCTTTTTAAAACCTACAACTTTCTCCTTTAACATTTTTTTATCGAAGCTATAGTTTTTTAGTTATTTAAGAAAAACCGTATTTTGCAAATTTGCGAATTTTTTTGTCCCTGTTGGCCATTTTGGATCAAGTTTAAAGATAAAGAGACCCAACTTAAAAATCAATTTCCTATAGGGTCATATTTTTTCCAGGTAATAATTCCTGCAAATTTAACATTAGGCCGTCACAGAATGCTTGGAGTGAGCCATCAATTTCCTCATATTTTACAGTAATAAACAAATTAATGTTTAAAAATGGGTGGTTATCAAGGAACACCTTATAAGCTAACAAGATCTATGATTACAACACATCCAAAAATCGAATGACACCTTCAGAAAAATCTTGTCTCTAGTATATTCCATCACTTCAAAGACTGCTGCAATTGTCCACTTAACGAAAAACACTTCACTTAATACATAATTAGTTCCAAAATAGTAATTAAATACAAAATTTCCGATCATTTTTAAGTTTAAATGAAGAGTTTTTTAATACACGACGCCAGTAAACAACTTTCAAAACAAAACACATACGCGCCGCGTCGCCGCAATCTACTCTTAAGCAATATTTTTGACGAACATCCCTGGTTACTCTTAAGCAATTGTTTACGGACACGCTTTACTATTATTTGATATTATTTACAAAAAAAATTATTATCTCGCTATAACAGGGAAAGGGGCTCATGGACACCTATTGGCTCACTTGTAAGGAGGGAGGCGTAAATAAATCGGTCGAGATGGAAACTCCGTCGTATTTCCTGGTATGAAGTTGTATCGTCTTATTAACTTCACCCCTAAATTTTCTTGTTTTGTAGGAGGATGAGGATACCGAGCCAGTTTTTATAAAGAGACTGAGAAATGAAAGCTACTTTTAACAAATAGTTTAATAGAAGTAATGTAAATTTATTCTTATATTAGGTGTCGCATACCTAATTGTTTATAATACCTATAAAATAAGATGTTATAAGCAATTAATGTATATTATTTAGTTTTAAGTCAGTGTCATACATTCCAATGATGATATGAATGTGCTGTGTTATTTTTTATTTATTCTTGATGTACCTATTTAAAGACATTTTTACTAAATAATATTTATTTATATGTACAGAAAATCGTATTTTATGTAAAGCATTAGAAATTAGAGAAATAAACTTTTTTTTAAATAGAGCGAGTTTTTTTGTTTCCTTAAACTAACTTTTTAATAGAGATTTACAAACAAAATAAAAAAGGAATCAATGCAAACTTCCAAAAATAACTATTTTGCAGCAGCCAAGTGACTGATTCCGTTTTTTATTTTCGATAAATTTGTTTATAATTTGTCTATATCATTAAACTCGCCATTATTCCATGGCTAGAAATTGGCCTCAATGATTTGGGATCGAGGGGGATTATCCCTCTTTATCCTGCCTCATCTCGTGTAGGCCTGGACAGCCTTCGTAGGTGGACCCCATCCGTCGTCTACCCCGACCGCAAATGCGGCCGGTGTAGGCGCTTTGTGGGACCTCCTTTTGTCCTGGCTGGGCCCCGCCGGCTAGGGCCCTTTCTTCTGGCGCTCTTCTTGCTTCGCCGGCTGTGTAAACCCCGGGGGTGGTGTCATGTTTGTGTGGTATGGTTGGGTAGGGTAGTGCGGCTATGCAGCCTGGGATGCGCTTTGCTAAGGTGGCCCTTAGGCTAGCGCGGGTGGGGAGGAGTAAGTAGGGTATGGGGAGTGTGTATGTGTGTGTGTGTGTGTGTCTTCGTTTCTTGATCCTGGCGGTCTCTGAAACAGAAAAGGTTAGCGGGCAGGGGGAATCATTAAACTGTGACCAGAGTTATTCATTATACTTAAGGGTGCTTAAGGCAAGGAACAAATAAAACGCTCTGTATTTAGAAGCAGTTGTACCAATATGCAATAATAATACCAACGTAAATATTTAAAAAATTAACGTCACTATATATCGAGTAAACGTCAAGTACGGGTAAATTGTCGATGTCCACAAATCAGTATTTGAAAATTAAATGAAAATTAAATAAACAAGGATTTATTACACATTCCAGCATCGTTTAATAGGTTTGATAACAACTTCTACTGCATTTTTATGGGCTTTTATGCACTGGCTACTTCCACATATGCTTTTTTTAAATGACGTGGCTTAACCTCTAAATTTATAATTAGGGAATTGTACAGTTTTGAATTAAAACATGCACGTTAAAGAAAGAAAGAACAGGGCGAGAGATACCATCTCGTCCTCTATGGAAAACGGTGAATATCCTCAGATTATTCCACGAAGCAACATAAGAGGCGACGAAAAAAACATCCTGCTGTTGTTTTTCCTTTACACGTTACAAGGAATTCCCTTGGGGCTCACCGCCGCCATTCCTATGATCTTACAGAACAGAGGAGTTAGTTACAAACAACAGGTAAATAGAGGCATAAAGGACTATTTAAGTAGTTCATCGTAATCCATTTTAGGCAGAGTTTAGTTTTGTTTCCTGGCCGTTCAGTTTAAAGTTACTATGGGCCCCCTTGGTAGACGCTATATTTTCCATGCGAATAGGACGAAGGAAAACGTGGTTGATACCTACGCAATACTTAATAGGGGCTTTCATGCTGCTCTTGTCCGGGCACGTTACTCAGTGGTTGGGTAACGAAGGCACTGGGCCGAATATCGAAATTTTAACCCTACTGTTCTTTTGTTTGAATTTTTTGGCCGCCACGCAGGATATAGCAGTGGACGGTTGGGCTTTGACCATGTTAAAAAAACAAAACGTTGGACACGCCTCTACGTGTAATAGCGTTGGACAGACTACCGGTTATTTCTTAAGTTACGTCCTTTTCATGGCATTGGAATCACCGACGTTCTGCAATCAGTATTTAAGGAGCACCCCGGAGAAAGAAGGTATGAAATTTTTAAGTATATGTAAATGGTAGTTATTTTGTGATGGTTTTTTAGGAATAGTAACTTTGCCGGGATTTTTGTACTTTTGGGGCTGGGTGTTTTTAATTACCACCACACTGGTGGCTTTCATGAAAAGGGAAGTGGAACCGCACGACCCTGAGCACATGGAAGTGCCGGATAGGGACATCAAAACGGCATACAATTCGCTTAAAGAGATTTTAAATCTACGCTCCGTTCAGATGCTCGTTCTAATACTTTTAACTTGCAAGGTAATGTGTGAAATACCTAAGGTTGAAGTATTGGAGCTAAATATTTTTTTCAGATAGGATTTTCTTCGACCGACAGCGTAATGACGTTAAAATTGGTAGAATCGGGAATACCGAAAGAGAGGCTAGGATTGATTGCAATACCCCTAATTCCCGTACAGTTGGCTATGCCTCTGGTTATTGCGAAATATACGACAGGTATGTACAGGTCTCTGTAAATAATTCTATTATTAATTCATTTGTTATTTATACTGCACTTAAATTCTTGTCTACGCCGCCACTGTGCAGCGCCGGACTACTAAGTTGTATGTGCGGTCTTATCAATGTTACCCCGTGTTACCTTTTTAAACTAATTAACGGGCCTGCGGAGTGCAAAACTACAATAAAAAAAAGGTTTCATAAAACCATATTCAAAGTTACATAATTAAATGTAGACATAACCTAACATAACCTACAAATAACACATTGGTTGTACTAGATAAGTTTTAGGTTCACTTCTCTATTGATAAGGGATGTATTTATACAAAAATTTTCTGAAAATAGTATTCAACTCGACTCGAAACAACTAATTCGTATTTAATTTTTTTTAAATCCTGTTTAACTAATTTTGGCTTCAAATACTTCAAGATGACATTTCCAATCAAAATTTTAGTTAACATGTCAACATTTCCAGACGACATTTTCCAAATTCTTGAAACCGACCACTCTTACTACTTGAAAGAATATCGTAAACCCAAGACTTACAACTCGATATCAAGTATCGAACTAAGCAACTTGTTAGAAGAACTACCATGTGAATATTTGATAGAAAACATCAATAATATATGTGATAATTATATCAGAGACCAGCACAATTACATTGAAGACGACATAAAACGACGAAAAGCCGCTAGAATCATACAGAATTTTTTGCTCGGTGTGAGGAACAAACGTATCTTCAAACAAATCAAACAATCGTTGTATTCCATATCGAAAAAGAACCCTGTTAGTCTACTGAAATGCGTCAGCTACCCTCACGCTGAGGTTTTCGAAAAGTTCGGTTCTCACTTGACGTTTCGGCTTGCCGGGGAACGTTTTCCTCCTGATATAGTCTTTAAGTTATTCATTGGCCGACACTTGACTAACATACGTCTGTACGAGGATATTATTAATGATATGAGTGGGACAAGAAGCAACAGCTGGTTCACGTTTAAGGTTTACAAGTGTAGTGTCTGTAAAACCAGAGTAAAATACAAGCCGGTTGTAAGGAAGAAGAAAAATAAGAAAAAAGAGAAGGAAAATTGTATTTCTTGGATCGAGGAAATGTACTGTTGACACAGATTGTTTTTGAAATTGTATACTTGTTTCAGTCAAATATAGATTTACGGTTTCATGTTTATTTGGTTTGTTTCATGGTGAAGAATCGGTTTTAGGGCATCGATCTGTCGATATTTTCTTAAAAGCTATAGAACATTTTTTAATTTGGTTTTAGGACTTCGATATTTTCTTAAATGTTATAGAAAACATTTTAAATTGATTTTAAAACATCGATATTTTCTTAATCGTTATAGAAAAATGTTTTAAATTGATTTTAGGATCTCTGTCAATATTTTCTTAAATGCTACAGAAAAATTTTTTAATTCGGTTTTAGGACCACAATATTTTCTTAAATATTTTAGAAACACTTTTTAAATTAGATTTTGGACCTTGATACTTTCTTAAAAAGTATAGAAGAATGTTCGGAATTGATTTTAGGACTCCGATATTTTCTTAAACGTTATAGAAAAATGTTTTAAATTGATTTTAAGACCTCGATATTTTCTTAATCGTTATAGAAAAATGTTTTAAATTGATTTTAGGATCTCAACTTGTCGATATTTTCTGAAAAGCTATAGAAAAAATGTTTAATTTGGTTTTAGGACCCCTATATTGTCTTAAATGTTATAGAAACATTTTTTAAATTAGTTTTTGGACCTTGACCCCTCGATATTTTCTTAAAAAGTATAGAAAAATGTTCTGAATTGATTTTAGGACTTCGATATTGTCTTAAATGTTATAGAAAATATTTTAAATTGATTTTAGGATCTCAACCTGTCAATATTTTCTTAAAAACTATAGAAAAAATTTTTAATTTGGTTTTAGGATCACGATCTTTTCTTAAATGTTATAGAAACACTTTTTAAATTAGATTTTGGACCTTGACCCCTCGATACTTTCTTAAAAAGTATAGAAAAATGTTCTGAATTGATTTTAGGACTTCGATATGTTGTTAAATGTTATAGAAAACATTTTAAATTGATTTTAAGATCTCGATATTTTATTAATCGTTATAGAAAAATGTTTTAAATTGATTTTAGGATCACGATCTTTTCTTAAATGTTATAGAAACACTTTTTAAATTAGATTTTGGGCCTTGACCCCTCGATACTTTCTTAAAAAGTATAGAAAAATATTCTGAATTGATTTTAGGACTTCGATATTGTCTTAAATGTTATAGAAAACGTTTTAAATTGATTTTAAGACCTCGATATTTTCTTAATCGTTATAGAAAAATGCTTTAAATTGATTTTAGGATCTCAACCTGTCAATATTTTCTGAAAAGCTGTAGAAAAAATGTTTAATTTGGTTTTAGGACCCCTATATTGTCTTAAATGTTATAGAAACACTTTTTAAATTAGATTTTGGACCTTGACCCCTCTATACTTTCTTAAAAAATATATTAAAATGTTCGGAATTGATTTTAGGACTTTGATATTTTCTTAAATGTTATACAAAACGTTTTAAATTGATTTTAAGACCTCAATATTTCCTTAATCTTTATAGAAAAATGTTTTAAATTGATTTTAGGATCTCAAACTGTCAATATTTTCTGAAAAGCTACAGAAGAAATGTTTAATTTGGTTTTAGGACCCCTATATTGTCTTAAATGTTATAGAAACACTTTTTAAATTAGATTTTGGACCTTGACCCCTCTACTTTCTTAAAGAGTATTGAAAAATGTTCTGAATTGATTTTAGGACTTTGATATTTTCTTAAATGTTGTAGAAAACGTTTTAAATTGATTTTAAAACCTCGATATTTTCTTAAACATTATATAAAAATGTTTTAAATTGATTTTAGGATCTCAACTTGTCAATATTTTCTTAAAAGCTATAGAAAAAAAATTAATTTGGTTTTAGGACCTCGACCGCTCGATATTTTCCTAAAAGCCATACCGTACAGGCTTGTATTTGGATTCATCGCAGCGTTTCTGGTGTGGATAACGCCCACCCTTGTACCCGATGCCATGGAAGGCCTCCCGTTCCTATACGTGACGTTTCTAGTCATTTGTTACGCCCTCCATCAGGTAAATCTACGAAAATGCAAATTCTAAGACGAGAAATGGACTTTTTTTGTGATTTTAGGTGTGCGTTTACTGCATGTTCGTTTCCATAATGGCGTTCTTCGCGAAAATCAGCGACTCGTCGGTGGGCGGCACTTACATGACGCTCCTGAACACCGTGACGAATCTGGGCGGTAACTGGCCGGGTATTTTGGCCCTTTACTTTGTGGACCCGTTGACCTGGAAGCAGTGCGAAGGGGGTGCCGAGAGTATGGACAATTCCTGCCGAAATGCCGTAGAGAAAGAGGTAGAAGCGTTTTTAAATCGTCAAATGTAAAATTTATTTTGAAATGTTTTTTTCAGCTCTGTTTGAGTAAGGGTGGTAAGTGTGTGACAACTTTGGACGGTTTTTACATAGAGACTGTGATATGCGCCGTGATCGGCTTTGTGTGGCTGCTGTGGGGTTCGAGGAAGATCCGATACATTCAGTCGTTGGACGAGAACGCTTGGAAGCTGCACAAGAGGAAACGGGACAGATAGTGAGAGAAATATAGCCGTGATGTACACTAATAGAGGAAGTTTAAATTATATTTTTGTAAATACTTTTTTGTAAACAAGTACACATTTGATAGAGGTTGAGACGGCGGACCGTCTCGATTACATCGTTTCTAGTTATAGAAAAAGTTATTGTTGTGTGGATTTTAGGAAATTTCGTTTAATATTTGTTGGATATTTCGTTTAGTTTATATTACCAAGCGTTGTGTATTAAATTATTGAGTATTTGTACATATGTTTGTTTTAAGTATAGGGTGTGATCAAATTTTTTAGTCATTCCGATTTCCGATGTCGAAATTCTCCAGAGTTTCTATTATTCACTAAACACGTCATTCACATTTACCTTTATTTATTAAATAGGTATTAGTGAAGAGAAAATTCGTTTTTATTCCAAAAATTGTTTCCTTCTTGCATTTTCTAAAAATCGTCTTAAGGAGACCCGGTTTATTTTTGACGCAATCCTCTTAAGGGTGGGCGATTAAAAATACCGATTTTGTATTAGGCATTTCGCATTTATGGGGTACGATTTGGTTGTGGTATTTTAATTTTAAAAAGTGGAATTATTGACAATACTGATTTACAATAAAACCTCCTTTTACTTCACTGTTTTATTTACAACCTCTACCCTTCTACAAAAGCGCGAACTTATTTAACCAAAACATAGAAAATGAATAACAAATATGAATTTGAAACAAACGTTCTGCAAATTGCACTCAATTGTTTTTATTAAGACAGTTGTATAGCAAATAGCCAACCAGCAATACATTTTCGTAGATTTTATTACACAGTTTGTCTAAATATGAATCAATGCACAAATAACAGACTTTCCTCCATTCTAATGCAGATTTTCTATAAAATGGACTTGGTTTGAAACTCAAATAATTTTTTGGTGTAACGAAATTTGTAATTTACGATGCCGAAAGCGGCAAATTACAAATTTCTTTACAACGAAGAGTAATTCGAGTTTCAAAACTAACTCTATTTTATAGAAAATCTGTGTCCGAATGGAGGAAAGTTTGTTATTTGTGCATTGATTCATATTTAGACAAACTGTGTAATAAAATCAATAAAAAAATAAAAATGTATTGCTGGTTGGCTATTTGCTATAGAGCCCTCTTAAGAGAAACAACCAAAGTATTTGAAAATGTAGCCCCATTTTCAAGAATAGTTTTCGTCGTCAAAATAACTTTTTTGACATGCAATAAAACTGGTTCGTGTCATTAGATGAAAGGTTGAAATTGATAATGAAGAAATTTCAACGCAAATAACGCCCTGGAAAACAAAGTATCAGTATGATACCTGAGTTCGATAACCAAAAACAAATTATGAATATACTGTTGTTCCAAATTTTACCGCAAGTCTAAAAACAATATCTAATTGCACAAGTATTTATTTCTCCAAAAAAAATTGTTTTAATGTAAAGGAGCTTCTGTTTTATAAAAAAACTAATGTAAACACTATAACAAAAACGTTAATAGTAACATCGGATTTCAGTATTCGGAATGGTCTGGGGGTACGTGGAGAGAGATCGCGTATTGCGTATCGCTCTTGTTGCTCTAGACTTTTGTGTCGCCGCGCTGTGTGAGTTTTGAATATTCTACCTTTTTTATTTTTTTTTCTGAGACCCCGGGTTTTTGCTATTTTTACCCTTTTTTTTGTGACGTCTCTTTTCCCATTTTTTTTTTTATGTTTTGTGTCTCCCTGTGTATGTTCTGTGTATATGTGGGGTTTTCCGCGCCATCTCGCCCTTTTTTCCTTTTGCCCTTTTTCTTTTTCTGTGACTTTTTTTTTTTTTTTTCTCCTATTTTGAACCTCTTTTGAGTTTTTTTTCATTTTTTTTTCTTCCTCTCAAAAATTTGTTTTTTTGACTTTTTTTTTTTAATATAGATAACTTTTTCAAAAATGGAGTTATCGGAACGTTTTTTTCAAAATTTTTGTTTTTAAATTTACTTTTTGAAAAAAAATAGATCAAAATTATCTGGACCTATATTCACTGTATTTTTTTTTCAATTTTCGAAATGAAAACGAGAATTTCTCGATTGCGATCTTTGAATATTATTTTTTTCTTATAAAAAACTGACATTTTTTATAAATCCTCTAATTTTTTCAGTGGTTTTTTCGTTTTCTATTTTTTTTATTGATTGAAAAATATTTTTTTTTCAAATTTAGCTTATTTCATATAAAACCATTTTGAAAATTTTTGAAAATGTATATAGAACCCCAACATTGAAAAAATTTATTCTACGCAGCGATTGATGATAATTTCAAAAAGTCAAAAGAGGATGGCCTCAAAATGATTTATTTGAGTTCAAATGTGTTGCATGTATTTTTTAAAGCCCATTGTTCGTCCAAAAATAGACCAAATAACAACTTTTGTTTAATTTTCTTTGTTTTTGGATGTAGTTTTCGAAAATAAATACAAAAAAAATTATTCAAATCGATCTATTTTTTTTTAATTTTTCAAAAAAAATCGAATTTTTTTCATGTTTGCCACTCAATTATTTTTCATATTTTTTTCAATTTTGGGATTCTATACATTTTCAAAAATTTTCAAAATGGTGTGAAATAAGCTTATCTGAAAAAAAAAATTTTTTTCAATCAATAAAGAAAAATAGAAAACGAAAAAATCACTTTTTTATAAATTATCAAAAAATTTAAAGATTTATAAAAAATGTCAGTTTTTATAGGAAAAAAAATTCAAAAGTGGTACGTAATCATCGAGAAATTTTGTTTGAAAAAAAAAACAAGTTCAGATAATTTCGATCTGTTTTTTTTTCAGAAAGTACATTTAAAAACAAAAATTTTGAACGTCCCGAAACTCAATTTTTGAAAAAGTTATGGTTATTTAGAAAAAAAGCTATTTTTTTTCAAAATTTCATAACTTTTTTTGAGTTGGGTGAAAAAATTCTCAAGAGGTTTTCAATGTGGTGGAAAACAATAAAAAAAGTTTCAGCCAAATCGAAAGGGGTCAGGGTTAAAAGCGGTCGATTTGGATGGAATGCTGCACATCTTTTTTAATTTATTTTCTGTTAATATTTTACCTAGCAATCGGGTAAATCAATTATAATAATCTGTTTTTACTATTTTGAATGATAATAATTCAATTAAACGAGATTAACTGAGATCTCAGGAAAATAAAACAGTTTGTGTAATTATGTTACACAGACAGCCATCTATTGACAGTTTCCTGAATTTAAACACATAGTTCTACTCTAGATCCGTAGATGGCTCTGATAGTCGCATTCTGACGTCGCAATTATTTACAGGAATTACAATCTTACCTGTTTGTTCTATGCGTGTCGGTAACAGTACTGGCGCCATCTAGTCGTTACTGGATCTAGTAAGCTATTGCATATTAAGGTACACAGGAAGCTGTGCACAGTGCTTTCAAATTTATTCAGGCAAATGGTAAAATGAAAAAAATAACCAACTTAATTTTCAAAGTAAATACAAGTAGTATTAAATAGAAAATGTATCGATTAAATAAAAGACACCCCCGATATTGTATGAAATTTATTATTCTATGAACCAAAGGATATTTGACAATACAACTAAAGTACATTCCGACGGAAACTAAATAAATATAAAACTTCTGAGTCAACGGCGAAAAGTCCCCTAATACAAAAAATATATATTACAATACAACAAAAAAAAAACTCTGATTTTTAAGACAAAAAAATTAAAAGGTTTGGATTTGTTAAGATTTACTTTACAGTTAACCTCCAGCGCACGTCGCTTGCGGACGTGTACGGGAAAAAACACGAATATCCCTGAATATTTTAGTCGAGTACCGTGATCTCCTCTTTGATAAAGAATTCTACGATCTCCTCCTCTACGTTCTCGGTATCTGCATCTAGTTCGTCGGTATCGATATCTAAGAAACAATCGACAATTAATATCCTCGTTTACGCATTTATAAAGTTAATAGAACTTAAATTTGATGATAAGAGATGGCAACACTCCCTTGTGGGATAAATAAGCATGACAGGGATTTTATGAGAGTCGCCATCTAGTATTGTTATTTCTAACTTTGGACTGGTTGTCCATACTCCTATCAGCAGGCAGCGAGTCATAAATGAAATCAAACTATTTCTTAATCGGACAAAATAATTTTGCGGCAATTGTAATGTGCCGTTCATTTCGCATAGTGTTCCGGTAATATCTTCAACCTGTGTGTGCACACTTGTAACATTGTTACATATCCCTACTTCTATCTTCGCTTATGGTGTTCAAGAAGAAAGACGTATGAGGCCGCAAGAGTTGACTTGAAATCCCACCTCGTAGGCTATTGATTATATCCAAAAAAACAGAGTTAAAAAGAACTAGGATGTTCAAGCAATTTTATTGCATGAACCGTTCAAAGGGTCATTTTAGATGAAAAAAAAACGCGGAGTGCTATTAAATTATTTCAATCCAAATCAAATCCAATTTAAACTGAATTAAATCGTCATATTTTTTTTCAATAATTTTGGCGCCCAACGTGGGGCATAATAGTAAAACGGGAATTTTGAACAAATACACAGAGAAAACGACACAAAATGTATCTCAGGAGTGGAAAACAAACAGGAATTGAGTAAAATTAATATTTCAAGAATAAACTTATTTTGGCGCCCAATCAATTTCAATTCCATAACCATTCAATTCACTTCATTTCAATTCAAATCAAATGCAGTTCAAACTAAGCCAAATCAAGTCATATTTTTTTTAACAATTTTGGCGCCCAACGTGGGGCACAGTAGTAAAGCGGAAATTTTGAACTAAGACACAGAGAAAATGACAAAATGGATCTAAGGAGTGGAAAACAAACAGGAATTGAATCACAACCAGAGGAAGAAAGCATAGTAGAAGACGGATCAATGGAAGCAAGTAGACAGATACCAGCATGCATGCAGCATGTATGTTGGAAGAAATGATGAAAACGATACAAGAGGATCAAAAGAGACAGGAAGATCGCAAGAGACAGGAGGAAGATAGAAAATGATTAGAAGAAACTTTTAAACAAGGCAGAAAAGATTTACAAAAATTAGAAGGGAGAAAAGAATTTGCAAAAATTAGAAGGGAGAAAAGAAGATTTTTAAAAAATCGGAGAAGAATTGCAAAGGATCGAACAAGAAAGAAAAGAGGATATGAAAACAATGGTGAAAGTATTAGAGGAAAAAATACAAGATATTAAGGGAGACATCGAAAAGAAACACAAAAGTGGAAAGAAGAATTAAGAAGAGATATAGCAAAGACAGAACAAGATATAGCAACAGTAGTAATAAAAACTATTGCTATAGAAGAATCGGTTCAAAAACAAGAACCAGACATAAGGGACATAGAGGAAAAAGTGTCCAAAAATAATAAAACATCGAACAAGTTAAGCAACAAATTCTGGGTGAATGAAAATAAAGACGGAATGGAATTTTCATATGTCGAGTGCATCAGTATTATCATTAACACCCTCATTATTTAATAATTTTTTGAACCCATGAAATGCAATCTCTGCACACCTTTTCCCCGTCGCACGAATCTACCTGTTGACGATGACTCGATGCCTACTTGTTTTGGTATCGCAGTATAATCCAAATCTTTTTTAACCCCAAACATTTGTCGCTAGCTCCTTTCCCACGGAAGCAACATCAAAGCTTCCCCAAACACCGAACAAACAGCGATTTATATATCCTGAGTGACTAACCGCCGCGACACAGAGAACCGCGACGGCAATAATTCAGGAAAAAAACGAACCCAAGACAAAAACGGGGGAAAAAACTTACTATTCCTCAACGCCATACGTCTCGATTTATTCGACAGGTACTGCTTGACCTTCTCCTCCCTGTACATCTGGAACTTGTCCATGAGCGCCGCCCTCTTCTCTATCAGCTCCTTGGACGCCTTGGACTGCCTCATGCGGTCCTTGCTCTCGAACTGCGGGTAGTACTTCTTGAGGTTCTTCTTGATCTCCTTCTGCTTCTCGTCGCTGAGCAGAATCGGCGGCCTGGGCCGCCACAGGATCTGCGCGAACTTCTCCAGGTTGATCCGCTTGAGGATCTTGCCTTGGAACGACCAGATCCAGTATCCTAGGAAGCGTATAAGTTTTAAGGGGGAAAAGTTAGTTCAGCAGCTAATTAAATGTTACCCATTAAGGACTCGCGTACCCGTTCAATATTTGTTAAGAACCAGTTTATTCGCTAATTGCTTGTTACCCGTAAGAATAATAATAAAGAGTAACAATAGATAAATAAGGGGAAACAGGTAAATAACTGGGAATAGGTAAATAACAAATAAAAGATAAATAAAAGGTAACAGATAAATAACAGGTAACACGTAAATAACTGGTAATAGGTAAATAACAGATGAACGGTAAATAAAGGGTAACAGATAAATAACGGGTTACTGGTAAATAACGGGAAATAGATAATAACAGGTAAACTGTAAATTAAGGGTAAAAGGTAAATAAAGGGTAACAGGTAAATAACTGGTAAAAGGTAAATAACAGGTAAAAGGTAAATAAACAGTAACCGGTAAATAACGGGTAATATATAATAACAGCTACAATAAAGGGTAACATATAAATAACTGGTAACTGGTAAATAACGGGTAATAGATAATAACAGGTAAATGGTAAATAAAGGGTAAGAGGTAAATAAAGGGTAACAGGTAAATAACTTGTAAAAGGTAAATAACAGGTAAAAGGTAAATAAAGAGTAACTGGTAAATAACGGGTAATAGATAATAACAGGTAAATGGTAAATAAAGGGTAAAAGGTAAATAAAGGGTAACAGGTAAATAACTGGTAAAAGGTAAATAACAGGTAAAAGGTAAATAAAGAGTAACTGGTAAATAACGGGTAATAGATAATAACAGGTAAAAAGTCAATGAAGAGTAACAGATAAATAACGGGTAACAGGTAAATAACGGGTAACACGTAAATAACTGGTAATAGGTAAATAACAGATAAAAGGTAAATAAAGGGTATTGAATACTTAAAATTATGGCCTGTTTACCAAATTTTTATCGAGTATCCGAAATTAGACTCAAGTTTCAATTTTTTTTTTGTTCTACGACTATTGTAAAATCTCCTAAAAATTTAGGACTTTTTATTCTGTAATTTTTGAGACTATTTTATATGAAAAAATTGTTACGCAAACGAAATTTAAAGCTCGGTTCACGTCACAAGCCCCCTTTCCGATTGCGTTTTCTCTATTCCCCGAGCGTATAACTACCGAAACACGTACAAGTTTCAACAGCAAAAAATCGGGGTTTACAACAACACGACCAAATCAAAACTCTTACCCGTGTCCACCTTGGTCTTCCAGAACGACACGCCGGTCACAACGTACCGTCCCGTCGGATCCCACTCGACATCGGACATCTGGAAGTGGTCCGTCGTGTTCATAACCAGAAATTCGTGAGTGTCGACGAACTCCAGAGAACCGCCGCCGTTGGTCCCCAGCCCGGCCAGGACGATGAACTGCCCGCCCGGCGACCAGAAGAGGTGGTTGCAGGCTCGCTTCTCGAACTTCTTCAGGAGGATCGGCGCCTGACCCATCCTGACCTCATAGAAGCTGACATTGATGTTGGGCGACTCGCCGTGGATCATGGCGAACTTGGAGCCGACCGGTTCCCAGGCGAAGGCCTGGATGGGCTCCTTGCACTCGACGCTGTCGACCGGGATCTGCTTCTCCCTCATGTGGAAGATCTCGAAGTTGCAGTACATTCCCGAGTACTTAATCTCGCTTTTTTCCTTCCGAACCTTCGAGTACCTGTCGACTTTGACGCACAGGTAGTCGCCGGATTTCTGCCAGTGGATCTTACAGTCGGCCACGTTGAATAAGTTCTTCTTTCTTATCTCGTTCCTGTTGGGTAATTCTTGTAATGTCACGCTAGCGGGTACGTCTTTGTCTTCCGCCACCCAGTAGGCAACAACGTTATCGGTGGGGGACCAGTTGAAATCGCGGATACCGTTTACTTTGATGGATTTTTTGTCGAGTAGTCCGAACGAGGGCGTCTCGTAGACCTGCAGAGCGTCGTTGTTCTGACCGATCCTGGCGAAGTACTTGTCGTCGTGCGACCAGCGGAAGATGGGCCAGGCTGACGGGCCCTCGGGGTTGAACGAGCGCTTTTCCAAGCCAGTTCTAGAAATAACGGTCAAAGTAAGGTTAATGTATCGGCAACGGTTGTGTTAAGGAAAGTGCCAAATTCGTTTTATTGCTACTAACAGATATGCGTCTATAGTATTATGGAAACAAATTCAATTTTTATATTCGTCGATATCTCGTTCTATTAAAACATCTTTAATGGTGGTTTCTTTTTTTAAATTAGACTTAGAAGATGTGAAAAATTCCATCATTTCTAAAAGAAAAGTCCTTATTCTGTTTAATTTAAGACTGATAAAAAAACAATAATTGTATAATCCTGAAGATGTTATAATAAAACACAAAACATTGATGATTATATAAATTGGTTTTCTTCGCATAGTGCTGATCTAAAATCCAGACAAACTGACAATTCAGAAATAAATGTATATTAAACCTTTTCGGCATAAATAAATTTATCACCATATTTTTTTTTATGTACAGCGTGTCCCGAAATTAATGCAACAAAATTTGGTCACTGATTCTTAAGACAAATTTAAGGGATTGAGAAAAATGTCAAAATGTGTTCGAATGCATATCGTGATTTACCATTTTTCTCAAAAACATTTTGTTTTACGAACAAAATATCAAGAGACAAAAAAGTTTCTAAATTCAATGGCTTTCTAGGGAACTAATAAATTTTAAGAAAGTCAAAGCATCCAAATTTTTTTTATTCGAGACATGGGGGCCAACGAAATAGTGCCTTAAGGGGGTTCCCCGCCAAAAAGTGTAGCACTATCAGATTCCACATGTCATAAAACTCTCGTGTACCAAATATAGTGATTCTCATACAACAGGATTCTGAGATATAAAAAGTCTATTCTTAGGGGCGGATTTCAAGGGGTTGTAACTCCGAAAGAGGGGGCCACTTGACGAAAATAAAAAATACGGGTCCCCTAAATTTGTCTTAAGAATCTATGATCAAATTTTGTTGCATTAATTTCGGGATATCCTGTATATGCAGACAAAGCACTAAACATTAAAAAGATTTTCGAGTATTTTTTAAAAATTTATATTTTTTTACGTGGTTTATTACATATTAACTAATATTGATATATGGAGAAATACACGCTCGTAATTAAAATTAATTTGTTTTAAAACAATTATTTTTGGTGTTTTATAGAATGTACAAAATAAAAAATTAATGAAGGTACCTACTAATAGCTAGATTTTAAATAATTTTCTAAATCATTTCAAGTTTTTAATAAAAAATATCCGATACTATTTTTTCAAAGCACTGGGTTTCATTCAAGGTTGCCAAATATCATGATATTTATATAAATATCAAATATCGGATATATATCTTGATATATATCCGATATATATCAAGTCTTGGTATTTATTGTTTTTAATTAATTAGTTTATGTATAATATTATAGTAGCAAAATAAAATTAAGAAACTATTTAGGTAAATATTTTTATTCCATATATCAAAAACAAGAATGAAAAAATAAATATAAATTCTGAAACTAATAAAAAATATTAGCGTGAATATTAGGTACTACTAAAACTAACCAATTTACACCAAGTTAACATAAACTTCATAAATATTAAAACAAATACAAACACACAGCACCTGCTCGAATTGACTAAGACCTGGGGAAATAATGAAATAAAAATATTCATTCAATTTTACTTTGTTGAAAAATTCGGGGAATCACATAAACACGTTCCTCAATGATTAACATAAGGTTTTGCTGCCATCTGTTAACAGTTTTAGCAACTTTAAACCAGTAGGAATAATTATTTATAAATAAATTTTATAAATATCATGATATATATCAAGGAATAAATATCGTGATATATATCAATGACATATATCGGATATATATCATTGATATATATCATGCCAACCTTGGTTTAGTTTGTGAATCTGTGTCAATGACCTTCCAGGTTTTCCCCGACTTATAAAAAAAAATCCAGGTCACTTGTAGTTCATTTTTACATACACATTGATGTTTATGCATTAAACTTTTTCTAGACTGGACTCCATAATCTTTCTTATACCCAAAGAACCTCTTATAAAGGTTTTAAAACCACAAATAGTCTTCTCTTTCAAGAACCCAAGGCCGGCATTCACAAAATTTCCAGTAACAAACGCGTCAAATTCCCTGAATTTCATGAATAATTTTAAAATTCCCTGACAATTCCCTATTTTTTTTAAGAAGAATAATGAATTCCCCGACTTTTCAAGGTATTCCAGACCGCTACAAACCCTGCCTCTAATTTGTAAAATGACACTGTTCCTTTTTATAAATTGATATGAGAAATATTGAATACTTTTTTGATACATTTGATGTTTTGATTGAAGTCAATAAAACAGACAAAAAATGTACCATTATAAGTTATTATATCCATCAGCTTTGATTGGTATTGAAACACAACTATAAACTGACTAAACGTATAATAAAATTAATAAATCTAGAGGAAATAAAAACTTGAAAATTACATATCTTAAAAATATTTATCTTCTAAAATTATTACTCTAATAGTCTAGCAAGCAACTGAAATAAACACATTAACAATGACAACAGTGCAAACACAAGAATTATCTCTAGCGCTATTTGAACGTATTACATGCTTGATGCCAAACCACTCCTGCCAACGTGACCGCGAACAATAAAATGTGATTGTTTCATCAACGGATGTCAGAAAAGCCGTAATATTAAAAAAAATATGTTAAAATGTAGCACCTCACTGCAATATCTAAACAAAATAAGGAGCCCTACCTTATGTCCCAGATGATGATACGTTTTTGTTCAGCGTTATGCGGATCGCCCTGCGGCGAATAGGTCACCAGGTATTTTTCGCAAGGTGAAAAGTCGATAAACTGTACCCCGGGGTGAGCAAACCGTTTGTACTGGGAAAAGTTTGGACCCGCCCACAAGGCTATACCCAATTTATGGAAAGTGGACAAATATGTACCCAGGGGTGACCACTTTATGTACGTTTGAGACCAATTCTAAAAAAAATTCACAAGTGGCACACTTTACATCGAAATTAACATATAATTTCAAAGTTGATTTCCTGAAAAACAGCTAATCTGATTTTGATGATCTTTTTGTTTAATTATAGGTTTATTCTTCAATAATGTCCCTAATGTAGTTTTTTTAAATTGTTTTTTGTAATCGTTCACAAGAAAGTCAACTTTGATATTGATATGGTGCATTAATTTTGAAGCAAACATAAAATACTGATAAAATGAGGCGTCTCTGAAAATCGGATCCATTCACTTACCGCTCTGTCCTCCACCAACGATGGGTCAGGCTGAGTATTCTGCCATATCTGAACGGACTGCCCCTGTGCCGTGACAACAGCGAATTGATCGTACGCGTCCGGTTCTAACAAGTAATAATGTAAATCGGCTTGTCCCTGATACGGCTGGGGCTCCGGCGGATCCCACTTGTTAGGGATTTGTTCGTACTTCGCAAAGTCGGTGAACAGATTCACCAGGAAGGTATGCTGCTTATCTAGCTTAAAGTTATTGGATAATGCTACTGCTTGGGAAGCGTGTACGGGTGAGGAGTACTCTATAAAAATATAACCTTTCGTGTGCCCCTCGGCATTGACGGGATAGAACTCGTTAACTATGTTCCCAAACTTTGCGAAGATTTTATTTAAAACCGATTTTAATTTTTCTATGCGGTTGGGGCCTACCTGGGGCACTCCATCCACTACTATGACACTTTCGACGCCGTCAGTCTCCTTAGGTTTCTGTTTCAGGATATCTCCGAGTAGTTCTGCAAGGAAACCAATTCACATAACCTCAAAACCACTTTTACACATATGTTAAGGAAATTAGGGCTAGTCCAACAAGAATCTTAAATATTTTATTTGGATAGATTATGACAGCCAATATACTACTGATTTTATGCTAAATAAAGTGTGTAAATAACGATTTCGGCTAAAAATATTGACAAGAGCATGGGGCATGTTGCAGTAGGTGAAATAATTAGAGGAAATACCTTCATCGGAGATGTCGTCAACGAATCCCTCAGGATCACTAAAGTTTGGCTCTTCATCGTTGGATAAGTCACCTTCATTTTTCGTATTATCATCGTTCTGATTATTTTTATCGTCCAATTTCTTTTTCGCCATTTTGACACGCGAGAAGGAAATATTTGAAAGGCTGCGCCCTAACCTTGTCGCGCATTTTTACTCTAGCAGGCGCACCAACTTAATTTTTGAGCGCAAATTTCAAAAATTTTAAATCCACATCCAATTTTAGTTTGTATTCTGTAATTTTTCTCCTCGTGCGTGTCCTCTCTCTATTCAACCCTATCATATTTGCTGATTTTATTCGCTGTTATTATGCCTATGTACTTAGTAACATTATTTCCTTTCAAGTAAGTTGCAATTAAAGGTGGGTATTCCAAAATAGACTACTAATTACCCATGTTTATTTCGCAATCGTTAAAGAGATCTGGGTTAAGTAGAACCTCTTACAAGGTAATAAGCGTATACAAACGAACTGGCTGCGCCCTAAGCTTTTAAGATATTATACCAACCCTTTAAGGAACGGAAAAGGCAATAAATCATCTAATGCCTAATTTTCTTGATAACTGCACTGCATAATTATAAATCAATATGGCCTGGCCATGTTCTAGATGGGAATAGGTTGATTATACGTATTATGATTTACTTTCGTCAAGATTTAAAAGCATACAACAAAATATTACGATATAGCTCCCAGGATCATTAATTCATATACACTGTGACCACTTTTGTGTCACAACTTGTTTCTTACTGCCAATAGGTACATTTTTTCTGGTATTTCTTCCTCCAAAGGTAACTAGNAATAACGATTTCGGCTAAAAATATTGACAAGAGCATGGGGCATGTTGCAGTAGGTGAAATAATTAGAGGAAATACCTTCATCGGAGATGTCGTCAACGAATCCCTCAGGATCACTAAAGTTTGGCTCTTCATCGTTGGATAAGTCACCTTCATTTTTCGTATTATCATCGTTCTGATTATTTTTATCGTCCAATTTCTTTTTCGCCATTTTGACACGCGAGAAGGAACTATTTGAAAGGCTGCGCCCTAACTTTGTCGCGCATTTTTACAATAGCAGGCGCACCAACTTAATTTTTGAGCGCAAATTTCAAAAATTTTAAATCCACATCCAATTTTAGTTTGTATTCTGTAATTTTTCTCCTCGTGCGTGTCCTCTCTCTATTCAACCCTATCATATTTGCTGATTTTATTCGCTGTTATTATGCCTATGTACTTAGTAACATTATTTCCTTTCAAGTAAGTTGCAATTAGAGGTGGGTATTCCAAAGCGGACTACTAATTACCCATGTTTATTTCGCAATCGTTAAAGAGATCTGGGTTAAGTAGAACCTCTTACAAGGTAATAAGCGTATACAAACGAACTGGCTGCGCCCTAAGCTTTTAAGATATTATACCAACCCTTTAAGGAACGGAAAAGGCAATAAATCATCTAATGCCTAATTTTCTTGATAACTGCACTGCATAATTATAAATCAATATGGCCTGGCCATGTTCTAGATGGGAATAGGTTGATTATACGTATTATGATTTACTTTCGTCAAGATTTAAAAGCATACAACAAAATATTACGATATAGCTCCCAGGATCATTAATTCATATACACTGTGACCACTTTTGTGCCACAACTTGTTTCTTACTGCCAATAGGTACATTTTTTCTGGTATTTCTTCCTCCAAAGGTAACTAGATAACTTATTGCACTAAGTAGTTGACTTAGTTGAGGTTGATTACTGGTTAAAAGTAATTTATCTATAACTACAAAGGCCGATGTAAAAATTTCATGACAGTACCTAACTAGTTATTTTTTTAGCTCTTAGTAATAATAGTTGACACGTAAACACGCGAACTGCACAGCCATTTTGTGTCGAACATACAAATAATCATCAACGCTTTGTCTGTGTGTTGAATAAACATTACGTGAAGGATAAATATGTTATGTAAAAGATTTTCAACTTTGGCTTACAATTATTGTTTTATATGTAAAAAGTAAAAGTAAAAATGAGGGACGATGAAACTATGTTCTTGTTTATTATTTGCAACTTTTTAAATCCGAAAGAAAAGTTTAAAGACAGAGTTAATAATTGAATCTAGTGCATAGAGCTATCGCAAAAAATCACTTATTAGTGTCTAAAAAGTAGCTTATTTGAAGTAAAGAAACGTATTTGCTAGTGTTAGGGCTAATTAAACACAAATTTTAGTTAATTTTTACCGTTATTTTGTTAAACCGCCTGCCCAAGAATTATGCCAAATATCTTTCTAGGTATTTTACAAACTGAAACACCCTGTAACTTAAAAAATGAAACAACTATGGACTTGTATATGTTTGGCCCAATTATCATGCAAGATTATCAAGTACTATTTGTGGTCCTTCATTGAAACACGTTCTGTATAACTCGAAACGAGCACCTTTGAAAATTTGATGCCAATTCGAGATGATACACCACGCAGCGCTCACCTTTTGGACCCGCTTTCTATCAGGCCTAAGAGAGGTGTCCACGACACCGAGTCTCCACTCTCCAGTTAGTTATTGTTCGACTTCTTGAAGAAGCGCATTTGTTAAATAACCTTATACGCCGTCTGAGTCATACTCGTCGTGCATTGAAATTATCGAAAGACGACGTGAGGCAAAAGCCGGCGGTATAGGAGGTTTAAATCACTCTTGAATCGTGGAAACCTGCGGCTGCTTCTGACCGACGCGCGAGTGCCCTATACCCGCGTTTTCTTCAGCCTGTGTCGTCCGGAAACAATCCCAATTGGAATCGTGAAGTTGCGGAGTTGGTTGGTGCGTTGCGCGAGGAGTTTTGAAGATACCGATTAAAAAGGTGAGTAAATTTTATGAATTTAATGTTACCCCGGGGGCAATTGTAACTTTTTATTCTTTATTACTCGTTGATGTTTACAACTAAAAGTTAAATAAAATATTATGCTTGTATTAGGTAGATCCGATGACGCATATTCTTAATGTATTATTTGTTTCAAATCGAAATTCATATTAAGTTTCCTTCCTGTTTAAGAAACTTATAGATTATTTTTAATCCTATTGAAATTTAAAAAAAGAAAAAAATGGCGAGAAATAAATGAATAAACGCAATCTCAATTGAAACGATTTTTTTGTCTACGACGTCTAAGACCTTTTATAAAGAAATTACGCGTTAAATCTCATTAGGGTTAATAAAACATGTGATTTATAGATATTTTATTGTAAACCTCGTGTTCAAGATCAATTTTAAACATCAAAAATATGCAAGTTAAACAATTTAAATTTTAACCGCCTGTATTGTTTTCTGCCTATTAATATTCCGTGACTGCATAATATCTAATAAAATTTCTCAACATACCTACCTAACAGGTACATACTTATAAGCAACTGATAGTTTATCGAGAATTTGTTATTCAATGTTAATAATACGTTGCGTACACGATATTGTGCAGCCATTTTACATCAAATTTTTATTCTGAATACCAAAGAATTTTGGTGAAACTTAATATCGCGTTAATCTTTGATTTCTTTCACATCAATGTTTATTAACCTTTTTTTCATGGTATCACACGAACCTTATAAATATTTTCTCGTATAATAAAAGTTTGTGCAATTAATAAAGTTAAAGGTCAAGTCATTAACTTGAATATTAATAACTATAAGTGTTACGGAGTGACTAATAAGTTGATTATGTTATGGAGAAGTCTAGAAATGTAAACGCAAAGTTTGCTCTTGAATAATGTGTACTATATTGAGGTTAAAAATAGTAAACATTTTCCATTTAAGTGATCCTAAGTGATCCAATCTCACCGATCAGTTATTGGAAAGCTACGTAAGGAATAATTAAAAGAAGAAACAACTCAATGTTTCTGTTTTTGGTTAAGCAGGAACTTCTGGATTAATTTTTCGATTATTGCGCTGCTGTGCAACTCAGAAATTTCAGATTTTTCAGCATTGTCAGCACAATTCTAACCTTATTTTTAAACATCAAGTCTTTAGACCCTTGAAGGGCAGTTTGGGAGGGAGTTTTTGAATAATGGGAAAGTAAAAATTCTCATCACTGTCCTGATCACTGTTTCTCTATTCAAGGACACCAAGAATCGCTGACAAAAGGTCAAAGTGCCGATGGCGTTTAAATTTGATCGATTAATATGCTGTGCTTATGTCTTGGTATTTAAAAAAAGTGCATATTCTGAAATATTGACGACAAGGATATTGGTCAAATGTTAACGGCAATTCCATATTAGAACAAAATTGAAAATGGCTGAGATAAAACAAACTGTTTAACTCTGTTACAACTTAAATAACGCTAATCTGACAAAGAGCGACCTGCTAATATGCGGACAAACCAGTGTCACGCTAAATGAAATAAAGTTTTAACAAATGATATTGTGGGAAGACTAAAATGCCTCGAGCAGCATTGAATTACACCCGCAATATCTAGTAAACAGCTAAGATCATTCGTCAACAGGCAGAGCCACCAAACATATACCAGTTTCTAGATATAGTGGATATAATTCGATGCTAGTCGTAACATTAGTCCGCAATCATTGTAAATCTATTATTTCCGTTCAACGAATCTGTGATTGGCTTGACCCGCCTTTTTCCAACCCGTCTGCATGAATAGTCTCGAGAAAAAAAAAAGAAAAAAATTTATATTTGTCGATTTTGGAAATTTTTTAAAATCTTGAGCGATCTCTAAAAAGATTTTTTTTCACCTGATTTGAGGGGGCTCTTGAAACATGATAAACTAACATATTTTCGCGAGGCACGAAAAAAAAAATATTCGTTTTTTTTGGGTCATCCTACTATGTACGTTTTCAGCCACGAAATTTGAATAATTCCAAATATTTCGAATTTTCACCACCAAGAACGGCGGTGGCAACATTTTTAAAATTATGGAGATGTTTCGCATGGTACTGGCTATGTCCTGTACACATTTAGTTTCGCGTAACTCACTCGGTTTCAAAAATACAATACCTATGTAGGAACGTTTTCAGCCACGAAATTTGAATAATTCCAAATATTTCGAATTTTCACCCCCAAGAAGAAAGTATTAAATCTTGGGCTATATTTCGAAACACCCTCGACCATTTCGTAATTTTTTACCTATTCTCTTTTAGGAAACATGCGTAACCACTTAAACTGAGCGTAGAAACGCAAGGAAACGTCAATTAACAGACCCAGCCCGCCGTGGCTTTTTTTACGACCGCTGATAAAAATTTCACTATTGTTTTACTACACGGCGATATTACGAAGACCGTAACGAGTTTCCATTGTGCTCCGCACCGCGACATTAAAAATGCATGGCTTCTCCGGCCACACGAAGTTCAAGGGAGGCGGTTTCCCTTTTAACGTTTCCCGTTTTTCGTCGTAAGTAATTCGTGTGCCAAATGATCGTCAAATATACGTCGCGGCGGCTTCAATTTCGACCTGAATAATTGATCCACCAGCAGGGAAGCCTTGTTCATGGCTAGTGATAACTGTTTCCTGCATGAAGAGCTGTCCGTAGCGTCGCTTGTCAATCAGTGACAACGGAAATCAAAGACTGTGGTATTGTTTTTTCGGTAGTCGGTGGCTCCGAACTTTTATCGGTTAGGATCCAAAAATATTCGTTCAATTCGTAAGCATAGCTTGTACAGGGTGTTCCAATCTTCCGTGGACATGGAGCTAGCACAGTTACCTGCGATTAGAATACGTAGATTTCACTACACTTACTTCTGTCTTACCTGGTGAAGACTGTAGTCCAGACACTGAAGGTGAAAATAAAGTAAAAGCTCCCAATTTTTTCGGATAGCATGGATTTTCCTGAAAATTTGAATACAAGCTCATCTGAACCCTCACTTCAAAAGTTATATTGTGTAGATGTGTGCTTTTTTCTATTTGGGGGTGAAAGCTACCCTTGTACGAAAAAAATGCGAAAATCGCAGATTTACGTATTTTAAAGATTCAATTTATGTTCAAACATGTTGGATGAAGTTCCTTTCATGTTTTTTAATATAATTTATGAAATTTAATTACTTTTCAACCCTTAAAAATCTTTAAAAACTACCATTCCATGGCCAAAAAATAGAAAAATAAAGTTTTTAACAGTTTGAAATATTCTTTTGGTGCATTCACAATGTATTGCATTTCTTTTGTTATTCATTAGAAAGNTAAGTCCTAGGTATGCAGAACCTTTAATAAAGTTCACCTATTTTTTTACGGTGCTTTCAAAAATGCAGTAAAATACAGGGTGTTCCATTTAAAAAAACATAACTTTGATATGGTACGCTTTTCCTGGACACCCTGTATATTTCAAAATATTTTTAAAATGTAGCCGTAATCAACCTACACGTACCCACCTAAACAGGTTTCTATAACATTTGCCGTTTGGTCACTAGCGACCGAGGCGTTACTGGTGGCCCACCCTGTATATGGATACGTGTGTGTATGTATATTATTAAAATATTTACTCAAATCAATTCACAAGTGCTCCAAAATACACAAAGATGATGGTAATTTACCCGCACCGAAAATTTTACCGAAAAAATGAGATTAATTTTTTTACCATAACTTTTGTAATTTTAAATTTATAAATTTACTGAAAAAAACATTTTGTAGGGAATTTAAAGCACTTTAAGTTGTGTGATTTGTAGTTTTTTTGAGCTCTTCGTTTTTTTAGATTTTTAAGCTAAAAGGACTCGGGAAAGGCAGTCTTGGAGCTTAGTTTTGAGCTTCTAACTGTCATAACTGTCAAATTTTGTCCTACAAAAATTTAAAAAAAGCAAATTGTTCAGTAGGAAAAAACCTACAATTTCTTATTCTATCATTTTTTTATAACTTTGTTAGTTTCTGAAATATTTTGAAAAAAAGTCGATTTTTAAAAAATTGAAAAAATTTATTCAAAAGTATGAACATTTTTTTAAATTTAGGCTTCTAAAATCGTTCAAATTCCCAGAATTTACTGTTAATACACTAATAAATTAAATTGCAGAAGGAATACGTTTAATTTTTTTTTTCGTCGTCATTTTAATACCGATTTTCTTTTTTTTTCTCAAAAATCATTTAATTTTGATTCTAACTTCAGTAGTTTTCATGCTAACGACTTCTACCACCACTCAATTTAAAGGTCTTTTCAATAACTTTAATAGGTGTTATATAAGTTTTCCTCGAAAAACCTTTAATTTTTCCGCTACAGAACGTTGAACGTTTCGATTGTAGCGATCTTCGAAATTGACTTCAACTTCTGGGAGTCATAACTCGGGTTCTATACCATCTACAAAAATAAAAAAGGCAATCCCTTTGTTATTTAATTACCTTCATTTTTGCTTATGATAATTTTTTTGATAAAACTTGTAGTTTTTGAGAAATTCGCGAAAAATGGCTCAAAAACATGCATTTTTGGGCTGAAAACGAACATGTTTAGGCGCAAATAACTCAAAAAGTATTGACTATACAAACAATTCTTATAGAACATTTTTTGCTTAGAATTCGTCCCTCTATCGAATCCTGAGGTTATTTTTAATAAAAAAAATCCCACCCTCCAGAAGGGGTGGCATCCACCCCTAGGGTAAGAACACACATCGGCACTATATAACTTTTATTTCTTGGGCTATTCCCTAGCTATAGTTCAAATTTCACGTCAATCCATTCCATCCGAAAAAATTGGTAGCCAAATTGCTTCAGTGACTGGACTACTGGGTGAGCTTGGTATTTCGAAAACTCAAAGGACTGAGACACCATAGAGGCAAAATGTTGCAGATCATGAGGAAGCTTCCAACGCTATGGTGCACCTCCTCACAATGACAGATTCGTTACAGAATTGTTAAATTATAATTTTGGTGGTAGACGGATTGGTCG